TAAATACCGAAATAATGCATGCATGCACAATTTCAGTTCAAAACCGAAATAATGCATATGAAAAAAACCGAAATAATGCATATGAGAAAAACCGAAGTAATGCATATGACAAAAACCGAAATAGCGCATACATGAAAACGAACTTCTTTCTGAGTAGGCGGCCTTCGGCCGCGCTTAGGNTTCCATATGCGCAATTTCGGTGCCCCTATCAGACGAGGTGCGTTAACTACCCAAAATTACAATTTGGGCCAAAATAGATGTTTGATTCGCCATCTTTATTAGCTAATTTTTTTACGTGTATCAGTGTGTCTGCCTAAAAATATGCAACAATACAACGCATATACATAATCTCATAGTACTGGCCATCAAAACAGCCCTTTAGGGAAAGCAAGCCTGGGAATTGTAATTTTTTTAATTTTGGATTACCTTTTTAGGAGTATTTCAATATGAAAAAAATTTTGTATAATTTACTTTATATGGTAGATATTTTTTAAGACTCTCTTTTGCAAATAACTTACATTAAACTATGCTCACCAGGGTGGTCCTTAGATGTAGGAAGCAAATTTTTATATCAGATTTCCCAAGCCTCAACCCCTACGTTGATGCTGCTGTAGTCGATGATATCACATATAAATTTTGGTGCCGATTGGAGACAAATAAGGCGTATCGCACAGGGGGAAAGTTCAAATTTCTCTATAGAGACTCAAAAAATTAAAATTATTTTTTTTTATGTAATACCCAAAATTGATACCACTATAGTCGATGATATCACGTATAAATTTTGGTCCCAATTGAAGGTTAAGGCGTGTCGCACAGGGGTCAGTTTCAGATTACCCTATGAAGACGTCTTAACCGACTAAAATCGGGACCAAAATTTATATGTGATATCTTTGACTTTAGTGGTACCGATTCAGGATATTAAATGAAAAAAATATATATTTTTAATTTTTTGAGTCCATAGAGGCATCTGGCTTTTGACCCCTTTGCGACACGCCTTAACCAACTCCAATCTGGGCCAAAATTTATATGTGATATCCTCGACTATGGTAGTATCGATTTTGGGTATTATATGAAAAAAATAATAATTTTAATTTTTCGAGGTAATAGAGGAATCTGAACTCTGCCCCTTGTGCGGCACGCCTTAATCGGGACCAATATTTTATGTGATATCTGTGATGGTAGTATTACCGATTGAGGGGTGAGACTGAAAAAATCGTTAATTTGATTTTTTAAGGACCACCCTAAAGCTCACATTACAGCATACTTCACAAAAATTAAGTGCATTCACAATTGCTTTCAAGATTTCATTGTGCATGCGATTACCATATGTCGGTACGAGTGTGTGGTTTGTACTTGATTTGAATATAAGTGATTGCATAACTTTATGCAGCAGTGATAGCTAAAATAAATGACAAGTCAATTTTTTCTCTATTTGGTTATTGATGTATGATAAACTATCTAGTTTCTATTTAAGTTGACAGATTTTTTAAGCAGAATTGACTTCATTTCAGCATGATTTTCTTATAAATTACCAATGAGCCGTGAATTATTATAATGTGAATATGCTTTCTTGCGGTCTCAGAAGCGCGAAATGGCGCACAGTGTTTGAAAAATCGAAAAAGCTTGCAAAAATATAAAGAAAAAAAATGAACAATATAAAATATCTCCCGAAGAGAAGAGATAGCGAAATATATTTAACGGTATTTTGAGGATTTTGAGATGGAAAATTTAGGCAAAAAGATCATCTTGACGTTTAAGATGACGTTCAAATAGAGAAGGTTTCAATTCAAAGTAATTTTTCATCAAGCAATTACCTTCAAAGTAAAATCTTAAATTTTTTCTGGTTTTTGACCTAAAAATAGCTTGTAAGAAGTGTAAAAAAAAAATTTACGTAAGAACAGCAAAAATATGTTTTTAAAACTTAAAAAAAAAAAGTTCACTGCATACTGGTTTCAGGCTGAAAAAAAATATATAAATCTAAAACCTTCTATATTTGAAGGTCGTCTTGAAAGTGAAGTCTTTTACCCAACGACACTGTTTTTCCGGAATTCTCCATTTCAAAATCTTTAAAATACCGTTACAACTATTTCAGTATTTTTTCCCCAAATTAGAACACTGTGCGTCATACCAGATATTGAGCTGGTAGGTTTCTACCATTTTATCTACTTAGTAGATTTCTACTAGAAGTTTTATTGACTTGTTTGGATTTTCAATGCAGGGAAATATTTGCGGTACATGCAGGCACATATACATACATATGTATAGAATGCGTTCGAAGTACACAACACAAATATGCATTGAGCAAATATGTATGTATGACATTTTTTTTTTTATAGTTTGTTATGATATGTAATTATACCTCTTGTTACCGTCGCTTTTCATATTTATAAATATGTATGTATATATAATGTATCTGTCTAGCATTTGAGCTCAGCTTGAGCAAACAAGTATAACCACAGATAACCTTTTCGCGTTGTTCACAACAAATGAGGCAAACGAGAACAAAAGTCGAAGTGATGGAGCAAAGAAAAATACAAATATTTAAACAAATATTTTAATGGAAAGATTTAAATACCCAAATGTATATATATTAATCGTTATGTAAATGAGTATGTAAGTGTGTATGTTTGCACATGCATATAAATAGGTACATCCTCAAAAAATATTTAATCTTTTTATTGATTTGTGATTATCAATTTAAGACCAGTCAGCTTTATCAGTATTTACTTATGTATTTGAGAGAGAAAATGTATCTGTGTTTATTCGAACGCAGTTAAGAATTACGAGATCTTTCAATGCCAAAGAATGTATGTATGTATGTATGTAAATAAATTATTCATGCAGCTTTCGCTTTGTTATTTCTGAAAGAATATAGGTACTCCGATTAAGTGTTAACTTCTGGAATGAATTTACGATTAAATATTATAGACATTCATACGAAATAATCACTTCCGACACTTAAACAATTTTGCAATTAAATTGTGCTTATATTATTGCAATAAAAATTTCATTGGCGAATGCGCAGCTGATTTATATACTATAATACATAAGGCCATACTTATCTACACACGTATGTACGTTGATTTATCACCAATATTCTGCTTCAATTGATGAGATATGTATGTATGTATGTATGTACATACATATAGTATTTAAAATGACTAATCGATTATTGAGATGTCAATTGCGGTAATAACTGCTAATTTAATTGAGTTCATTTCAGCGACTAACTATGTACGAAGCTTTTGCGTCGCATTTGTCGCGAATGGTAATTACTGAGTAACTTTTTTCTCGAGTTGAAAAGTTGAGAAGCGTAGTAAAGCTCAGGAAAATGTATGATTTAAAGTTAAAATAATAAAAATAAGACAATTAATTCTGATATGTTCTATTGAGTTAAGTCTGAGTCACGTTTAGGTACCAGGAAATGTTTATTCTGCGATTAAATCTAGACCATGTGTGCGTAAGGTACATAATTAGCTACGACAATATTAATACGTACATATATGTACATACATATTTATTACTTAAAGTCAGGGAGCGAACATAAAAGTCATAAATAAAAATCGGTCAGTGACTTTTACTTTTAAAAGTCATCAATATAAATCAGTCACCGACTTTTATTTTTTAAATCATTCGTCATTAACATTTTTCGCTGTTAAGAAGATGTCGGGAAACAAAAGTTTACTACGACTTAAACAAAAATAAAGGCCAGTGACTGATTTTGATTTATGACTTTTATAAATAAAAGTTTTCGATAACTGTTATCTAAGACACATAATTTAAAAATCAAACATAACTGTTATTTGCAAATTATTTAGATAAAAATCAAAAATAATTGTTATTTTGGATTTATAAAGTAAAAGTCAGTAATAACGGTTATTTAAGGAGTAAATAAATAAAAGTAAAAAAAAAATGTTGAAGAGCGATTTTTTTTATAAAAATTGTTACTGTTGCGCTCCCTGCTTAAAGTACTTATTTTGTGAGTACTAGATATGATTTCATTTGTTTTGTGTTATATTATAATATGAGTTAAAACGCATTTTAGACTTTAAATTGAATTAATTGCTCTGTATTTACATATTTGTATCATACACACATATACATACATATATGTATTTATTTTGCCATACATACTTAGTATCAGCATTTATAGATAACTTAATTATACAAAATTTTCTAGTTTCATCGAATAGCGTGCGAGCCTTATAATCTCATAGATAATGATAAGTGAACTTGTAAACCTCTTTGTAAGCGATCAGACAAAGCTGTGAATAAACCGAGGCCTATAACAAAAACACAAAATACAAAAAGTAAACAGTACCTTCAGACTTTATTAATTCGCACATACCTTTACATATGTATATAGATACATACATACATATGTATATATTAAAACCAAACACACTAATGAAAATTAACACTGTGCAACAAGAAAAGTACGGTCATATTTGCAAAATTCTTTAGAAAAGTATTAAAAAATATTACTTTAAAATGCATGAGATAACTTAAATACATTTATATTTTGGTCTGAAAAAAAATTTGGTAATTCATACTATAGCTTTCGGGTAGGCCCCAAGGCCTTCTCCTCTTTGTACGACATCGTTAATGTTTCTGCGAAAAAGGTATCCCATTTTAATTTTTCTACCGATTTCCAAGCGCCTACCTGTTGACAAAAGTTATTCTCAAGGCTAACATTATTATTAGTGTAAACAGTAGATGCTGCTTCCTTCTCTAAGCTGGTAGTCGCGACGCCCGTGCTCGGGCCGACGATGTCTATGTCATATACATACCACAGCAGCATCTTTCAAACTTATGAAACTTATTTTCAAGGGTTGTGTAGTCCAAACAATAGGGGTATTCTCTGAGTCTTGCAAAGCCCTTGCACGGTGCACAGATTGCACGGTACAAATCATATCATATCGTATGGGACAGCTTTGCAAACCGTGCAATCCGTGCACCGTGCAAGGGCTTTGCAAGACTCAGAGAATACCCTTAGTGTGTTTACTGAAAATAAGTTTTGGCCGACATTAGGCTCTCACCGCGTATGCTTTTCACAGGTTTACACAAGAAGTTCGTACGACTGGCGTGCTAGTGGACAACACTCAGAGTCTTCGCCGTCGTACGGTGCTTACTAATGAGAATGTGATTTTCATTTCGGCGGCCATGTTAACAAGTAAAACTGCCATATCTGGGTAACGAAACGAGCACATGATCGTCGAGAAGCCAATGCATTCTCATAGGGTCACAGTTTGGTGCGGATTTTTCAGCGGTGGCGCATTTTTCCTTGAAAATGCTGTTGGAAACACCATTTCGGTTAATGCAACAAAGAAATGATAAACGATTTTTTTTTACCGGAAATGTAAGGCATGGACTCGGACGAACTTTGCTTTCAGCAGAATGGCGCGCAATGCCACAATCGATATCTTGCGCCCAAGTTCGGTAAGCGTGTTACAAGCCATGTCGGCGATATCAATTAGTCACTTCAGGCCTGAGATTTGACGCCGCTGGACTTTGCTTTTAATAATATCGTCAAGGACCGATCAATTCATTATCGATTCAGGCCCTTAAGGTCGGTGTCTGTTTTCTTATCGGTGGTATTTGCCAGTATTTGTAGCACTGTGACAAACTGGTAAGCTCTTTTTAGTCGGATGGAGAGATACCACCGAGCATCAGAAAGGGCTGACTGTTAATACTAAAATATAAAATAAAATACTATTAATAATACTTAAAAGTTAGTCAATAATAAAAAAAAAATCATGGAAAACAATTTTTATGAATTCTAAATCCATGAAATTCTCAAAGGTCTTTATTTAGGTAGTTGTGTCCGACTTTTTCTGAAAAAAAAAAAATCAGTTGTGGAGTCCACACTGAGTAGCAATAACGATATCAAAATCTTTTTGAAATATTCGTTGTTTGAACCTCTCCTCTTTACCATTTGGTTGCGCGTAATTATTTATTCATACCATTTCTTAAAAAAATTCAAACAATTGAATGAATTTATATTCTAGTTGTTTTGAAGTAGTAAAAACGATGCCACAAAAAAGCATGTAAACTGGTTTTTTATGCGGGAGAAATATTAAGTAGCTTTAGCGGCTTTCACGCGATCAATGTCAGTCGTTCATGCATACATTCATACATTTGTTCGACTTTTTGCCAAACATACATATTTACGTGTTGGTATGTTTATCTAGAATGCGTGATCTCAGTTGATTGTATGCATTGCACAATTGCTATAAATAATAAATATTTAATGACACCAAAAAATTGCCGCTAAGTATAAATGTCAATAGTCGGCGATTTGGAGAAATACTTTTAACGATTTATTCAATTTATTAAGGAAAAAGTATGTTTTAACCTAAATACATACGTAAAGCACGCCTTCAATGTACATGATACTCGGGCGCTTTTAGAGAAATAGAGTAAATTCTTCTGATATTTATAAAAAAATTTTAATAACTGTAGTCTGCCACAAAAATATTTTTTTACCACCTTAAGGTTAACAAAAATGAATTTAGCATTTTATCAACCTAAGCTAAAGTCATGTACTTATATATGTGTACTTATGGGGCATTCCAGCTAGTTCGGACACCATTTGGTATTTGCATCTCTGGTTTTTTCATAATTTTTATTGGCCCATAACATTGCGAAAACTGGGCCGATTAAATGACAAAATCGGGCATTTAAAAATAATTGTGTCATTACATTAAAAAAAGATTCCTTAAGTTCATTTCCACAAGGCATTTTTTTAAATTGCATTTATTTTTATTTCATTTCAATGCCTAGTGGAAATTCGGCATTAGCCGCAGTTTGATCATTCGTGGTGGTCGCCGTTGTCCTTTTATAGAGAGTAGTATCACCCCGCTGTCGAAATTCGACCACCTCCCTTTTTCATACACTTTCACTTTGTTTGTGGCACTTTTTAGGTCCATGACCACCTCTTGATCGTCCAGGTGAGTAACAGTATTAGGTCAAGTGATATCTTTTCCGTTAAATAATTTTATAATTCATAGAAGCAGTAGGGAGGAATCGATTTGTTTGAGATTTCGTTAGCGTATTAATATATAGATAGTAGATGGTGAAACCAAAGCGGGCATTCATAGGCTTATACGGCAATTGGAATAACTCGGCTCTGGAGGCACCTATCGCCTCAATTTTTGGCAGGTGCATTTCTCTAGATGTTAGTAATATGTATTTTGAAACAAATCGGACTATAAATAAAGTTTTTCGGAATAACTCCACTCCAGCCGGAAAAACAAACAAATGCGCACCTCCCCTTTGGAATATCTTTCGGACAAAAGAAGAATCATTCAAATCGGTTGAGAAACATAGGAACAGTAGGGAGGAATAGATTCGTATGGGATTTCGTTAGCATATTAATATTTAGATAGTGGTAATGCTCCGTGCAACGAAGGAGCGAAGAAGATCATTGAGATAGCCGTATATATCTAAGTGCTTTCAAATACAGGTCATCAATGCCAGATCCCAATATCTATCAATAGTAACACTCAAAAAAGTTTTCATCAGTACCTCATTAATCATCTTATCTAAATGACAGTTTTTGTTGTAACATTGAAATATTTTTCGTTGTTACATACATTGAAACCAAAAACACTATACAGGTCTCAATTTGATATTGTTAAGGTTAAAACTTGTGTTTTTCCTCATCAAATTAATAACCAAAATTATAATCTAATGTTTTTCAAATGTTTATTATTAATGGCTATATAGTGATATCGAAAAAGGATACTATTTAAAGTTTCATTCTAAAACAATGCGTATAAAACCAATAGTGCTACTTTTTTTGCTAAGTGCACCTACATACCGCTATACCAACCTACCAATGGCTGCTTTTCAGCAGTCTAACCCTGTTTTGACCGGCGATACCTACCCTACCAATCGCAGAGGACGTCACCTGATTTGTAAGTTGAAATCATTTATTCTATGGTTCGCCTGCTTCCGTTTGATTTGCTGAAATCTAAGGATCTGACTTGATTTTTTTACTATTTTTATTTTTTTTGTGTGGTTGTGTTCCCTTTGTGCAGCATATATTTCGGGTGCTCTATTTAAGACAGGCGCGGCTCCGCGGGGGAGGGAAGTTATGCAGAAAACTCAACTCAACTCAAAATTTTTATTTTTTTGTATTATAACTTTACTGAGCGATATGTACCTACACGGGCGATCAAAACTGAGTACATGGTAATTTTTGTTAAATATTTGAAATGGTTTTCAGATAAAAATTTGTGTATTATTTATTTATAAAAATATGGTTCAAGCTTTAACTCGACTTACTTATTTATTCTACAAGAAATTTACGTTTAAATGATAACAATTGCAAAAAGCCGTCAACAAAAAAAAAAACTTAAAATCAACTAGATTTTTTAGCTACTCAAATCTTACAGTTGTTTCACCAGAATTTCGGGTAACCGCATAGTTCAAAATTTTTATGAAAATTTTTTGAGTTTTTCTAATCTCTATATAAAGAAAAACTTATTATTTGAAAAACATTGCAATTATTTAACAAAGTGATTGCATTTTACATATCTATGTGCTTCAAAAATCGAGTAGCGACGGCAACCAAATAATATCTACATATTTTTTTTTTTTAAGATGAGTTCTATTAGTCTCCGATTAACGACTAATGATTATACTTCGATATAGATTATCAGAATTATTTTGTTTTTTTTTGTATACGGACTTTCAAGGTATACAGTACCGGCAAAAAAAAAAAGTTTTACGCACCCGCTTGATCTATGTATTTAGTTTGTCAACTCTGATTTCAAAGCCCCAGCGAGTACAGAAAAAAACTTTCGTTTAATGTTTATCCACAAAATTCATTTGTGTATGTGAATGTACGTGTATTTCCTCAAAGTACTTTGCCAATTTTCAACATGTGTTAGTCTTACCAATTACAAAATTTCATTGTTATATTTGTTTATGTTAATTATGAGTTAATAATTAATTTTCATGCCAGTCATCTGTTTTGAGGTGTTTACGCTACAAATACACCGCTTAAATCTCCATGCGTTGAATTTCACTGCTCCGCTCAGACTACTAAAATTAGTTAATTCGGAAATATGTATGTATGTACATTAAACATTGGGACGACACTGACGTCGATGGTCAAGCGATTGCCCCCTGGGGCATTCATGCGTCTGAAAGAGGAAACGATCGTCAATACTTGTGGGCATAACGGGTTTTTCGTCGGCCTGCTCACCTTTGCCAGCCGCTGCCACAGGTGTAGCCGCAGCTGGGTTGCCGCCGGCTGCAGATGCTGCTTCGCCGCCACTCAACGGCGCTAAGGGCACCTTCTCGGTAGGCGCATTAGCCACTGGGAATGGTGTTGATGGGCCATCGGCTTTATTGTCGTCCGTCAATTTGTGCTTCAGCTCGTCATACTTCTGGGCAACAGTACTGCCGAATTCCTTGGCCGAGGCACCAATTTTGTCAGTCCACGGCTTGGCATTCTCTTGCAAGTTTTCGGCGCCCTTTTGTATTTTACAGCCCAAGTTCTTGAAGAAATGCGTTACCTCACCTTCTTCGGAAGTCTTTGAGGAATCTTCACCGCAGTCGGCGTGCACGTACGCAACACAAAGAGCGAGAGCCAAAATGGCGATCAGAGATAGCGACTTCATTTTTATAACAATTTTCTCTGTGTGTTTTTAATGCAGCTAAATTTTTTTGTTTTGAAATTACGAAAAGTTTAACGTTTTAAATGTTTTTTTTTACTATTTTTTTTATTTGTTTTGAAGTTTCTCTTTTTATAGTGCGTTCTAAATAAATCGAACTGGTGTTGCCAAAAGTCGCGAAGTTACTGAATTTCTCGCATGCAGCTGTCAACCGCCAAGCAGCTGTGTGAGACGAAATTGCTTCGTGCCACAACAAGCTTTTCAAGTCGTTTCAAGTTATGAGTCGGCGTTGACGGTGGTGCGGTGAGGTATATGGACATACATATAGATTTGTATACTATATTGTGATAACCAACTAAACTTGCTCCGGTCTAGTCATTTGCAATTGTCAGGGTGGCAGGCTGCAGTATACACATACATACATACATACATATACATATATCTTATGCATAAGCTTCCCAACAAGCATTTCAGTAAATGTTTTTAAAAATAACTTAAAGTAAGTTTGCTATAATAAGCGTCAAATAAGCATTTTTAATATTAAGCTTATTAAAAGTTTTTTCAAATAAACCTTTAATAAGTTTTGAGAGCGAATGTTTATAAATAACTTAAACTTATAAATGAAATGTAAATGCCAACGACATGAAGTAGTAAATATAAAATTTTTTCAATCGTAAGTGACGTNGTAAATAACTTAAACTTATAATTGAAATGTAAATGCCAACGACATGAAGTAGTAAATATAAAATTTTTTCAATCGTAAGTGACGTGTTTACTTTTTTTAAAATATATTATTAAAAAAAAAAATTAAATAAAACCGATGCGATAAAAAAAATCCAATCCAGGACCCGCTGCGCTAATCGGTGGAGCATTCGAGTCTTCAAATGATGAGTTCTCCTTATCCTTTCTTAGTTTAACATTCAATTAAAAATGTATTAAATTTTTTTCAGAAAAGTTCATCAATGAGAATGGCGGCGATGAAGCGGAATATATAGCTGCATCGATGTCGCTTTTCCAAGTTGCCAATAACCGCATGTAATTGAAACCACACAACAAGATGTAATAATTAACTTTTTTATGCTTAATTTTTGGTTATCGTGAATTTGTATGCTAAAATGTCTATTCCCTATTTATATTTTCGCGACTGTAGATGAGTCCGCCGAAAATTCGCATTTCGTTTAGTTTCTAGATGTTAAGCAATCTATGTATGAGTTTTTAATGAAATATCTTTAAATAAAGGGTTATAAAAATGTTTATAAAAAGCTTTCTTTTGAATTTAATTATTCATACTTTAAAACTTTTGAACCTATAGTTTACGTATTATAACTTTGACATTTACAGTTTCTAGCTTATAACCAATGTTCCTTTTCGATTATATTACGCTTACTTTCAAGCGTTTTATAAACAAAAAATCAACGTTTTGTAAGCTTAATGTTTTTAATTTTTCTACCGATTTCCAAGCGCCTACCTGTTGACAAAAGTTATTCTCAAGGCTAACATTAGGTTCGTTCGCGTAGCTGTTAATTGTTCATGTTTAACCAAAACTTACAAGTTTTTGCGTTCGCGTACGCAAAAAACTTGCAAAGTAGGGGAAATTGAGAGAGCAAAGTGACATTTCATTTTGAGGGGAAGCTGCTGGTTTCTGTTGGAAAAATTTTTGCCAACAGCAATTTGCCAACAGGAAAACAGCTGATCAAAAACAGCTGGTTGGCATTTACGCGAATCACAAAATTGAATTTGATGATTTGGAAGTTAAAAATTACAAAATGCGACTAATTAAACTTGTAAGAAGTAAGTAGTTATTTGTTTTATCAATAAACTGTGCCAGGATACCACTTTGTAATGAGTTTTCGAACGTTTTAAATTTTACACTTTTGAATGTAAACAAAAATTATATCAGCTGTTCGTCTAACTTGCAAGTTTCTGCAAATTTTCTGTTCGCGT